TTAGAGAAGCGGAGCAGAGTGCGCATGCTTTCGGTAAGTTCGTCTTTCTGCGTAGGATCATCAATGCGCTTCTGGGCCTTCTCGTAACTGAAGGCTTCACGAGAGCGAATGACCGATTTGGTGAAGTCTGCAGATACCACTTCTGCGTTGGGCGTCATCTCCCACAAGACGGAGAAAGCGTACCGCTCGACGTAGGGCTTGAGGGAACAAAGGTCTGTACCGAGAAGATGGGGCAGCATATCGATACGCTTGTCGACTAGGTAGACTGTTGTTCCACGGAGACTGGCCTCCAGGTCCATTGCATTGTTCGGCTTGACGAAGTGAGAGACATCTGCAATGTGGACACCGACTTCAAAGTTGCCGTTCGGTAATGGCCGTGCATGAAGCGCGTCATCAATATCTTGACAGCCTGGGGGGTCGATACTGCAGATGAGGAGATCTCTCAGATCCCTCCGTCCCTTCCAGCCAATATTATCCTTGCTAGCCGGTACCCTCCAGTCATGACCCTCGGCGGGAAGACAGTCGAGAACAGCCTTCGGGAATGGCTTGTACTGAACGTCATACTCAAGGAGCAGAGCCTCTGTCTCCGCACCCTTAGTCTCCAGTTCTCCTAGTGAGCGAATGAAATGGCCGGTGGGGTATCGGGAATCGCGATCCCAGGCGTCGATGGTGACAAGAATACGTTGACCCATAAGATCACCAGCTTGTCTAGTACGGACTCGGATCTTTGGTACACGCTTGTCCATAGGAAGGACGAAGACGGTCTGCTGACGGCGACCGCTGCTAGCCTGAGCACCTGCCGAACCGGCATCGACATGTCCGACATATTGACGCCAGTTGCGTTTCATGACTCCAACCACCTTGGCTGTCGGTTGCGGCTTTCCCTCCGAGCTTTTCCCATGAGCTTTCCTGACCTCTTCTTGCAAGGCCTTCCGTTCCCTCTCCGACACCACTGCCTCGGTATCATCGGTATCAGGGTTGTCGTTCTTTGTGACCGCCTCTTCATCGACGATCTTGGTAGATGGCGACTTCCATTGGTCCTTGGGAAGTACTTCAATAACAACAACATCCCCAGAGATGGCTCTGTTACTGTTATCACGACCCAAAATGAGCAAAGGCTTGTCGAACGCCGGAACATTGACAGAGCCCTCCAGATAGTTGTAAGGCGAAACATTGAAGACTCCCTGGTGCAAAGTTCCAGCTCTAATGCCTGTCATGAGCTTAGACATTGAGTAGTATTCGGGATAGAAAAGTTCGCCGCGTGCGCCCTTCGCTTCCCTTGCCTCACGAGACTCGTTGATCATATCAAGTAGCCTATCCGAGTCCTCCAGGCCAGACACATAGTCTGACAGTGACAATGCGGTAACATCTTCCTCCTTTGCTTTGCGCAAGTTTTCCTTGTCGTCCGTGATGACAACGATAGCCGGGATGTCGTTCTTCTTCCCCTTCTTCACCGTGGCCTTGAGATGTTCCGCATACCACTTGGCCACTGTTCGCACAGCTCGGTCATTTCTGTCATTTATCGACTCATCGGGCCCTCTGCGGACGTGGGTCTCCAGTCGGAACTCGTTGAAGAAGAGGTAGAACCGCTTTTCGTCGGTCTTGATCAACGAGAGCAGGCGGTTGTAGAGGGGTAGGGACTGGTTCTTCAGTTCTTCGAGGACGGTTTGAAGGATAATAACATCGTAGAAAGCTCCGGTATGTTCGAAAAGATCCATGCCATTCAGCAAGGCATTCGTATCGGGGACAAGGTAGTGGCCGCGGGGGAAAGCGCTGGTGCCCGCGGGCTGCTCCGAGAGCACGAAAGGCGTGACTGTGTCGCATTAGCCATCAAATTAAGCAAAAGTTCAATCTGCTTGTCTCACTATTTCCATTAGCATCCGCTGGCGCAGTAGAGGCACATGTCGAGCAAAGCTTTGACGAGCAAGGAATGTCTTGTCTGAGGTAAAGTTCGCGAACGATCTTTTGAACTTTTCCGCTTTTCGTGGATCTCACGAAGACTTTGCTGGTGACATTTGCTGCCTGCGGATTCGACGAGAAGTCACGCCGTAAACTTTTCATATTGACTGTATAGTGACCACGCTCCTGGCAGGTCGTTGTATTCTGCGACCCAAATCTTTTTTTCAGGCCGTTGATGCACTCCGTGACGTTTGCTCAGATCTGGATCCGCTTGCTGAAGCGGGATCCAGATGTTGGTCCGGATCGGGAAAGTCTGCCGAGTGCCGACGGGCATCGCCATGGGCTCTCTCTTGATAAGCTTGCTATGTTCCGCCATCAACCTCTGGGTCCTCCGTAGACTTTCTACTCTTAATTTACAGAATCCAAGCGGCTATTACTTTATAAATATGGTTCTCGCAGTAAGCGCTTAATGCCTCACTAGATGGCTTTTCATTGTGTTTGCGGAGTTCTCACTGATATGATATATTTCCCTCATCACAGGCCGTGGGGCAACTATGTTCGACTGGAAGTCTAGCGGCCAACTTGACGCAATGCAAGACGCTGGTACGCAAGGCAGCCGCAGCTGGAGCTAAGGTAAGTTCCTATAGTATTTGTTCGCCCACAGGTCGTTTCAGGCTTGATTATGATCAGTATTAGCATCGATTTAACAAATTACCAGGCATTGTTTCTTCCCGAGGCTGCGGACTATATCGCATCATCGCCCGCAGAGACTATCTCACTGGCACGCTCTGTACAAGACAGCGAGTTTGTACTGGGTCTCCAAAAAGAGGCACAATTGGCCAATCTGCACATCAATGTAGGGATACACGAACCGGCGTCGAATGGTAGGATTAAGAACACCCTCGTTTGGATCAATGAAAAGGGCGACATCACACAACGCTACCAGAAGGTCCACCTATTCGATGTGGACATCAAGGGTGGACCAGTATTGAAGGAAAGCGCGTGAGTTTTACTAAGTGGATGCAGTTTGATCGAACTTGGCTAATGTCAAATGAAGGAGCGTTGAGAAGGGGATGGAGATACTACCGCCTTTCGAGACGCCCGTTGGGCGAGTAGGCTTGTCTATTTGTTTTGATGTAAGCCGGAAGCAGCCAACTTCTATCGCAAGGCGTCTTGCTCACGTTTAACCTTACACAGCTGCGCTTTCCTGAGATTAGTCTGGCTCTCAAAAGACAGAACGCCCAAATTATCACATACCCATCAGCTTTCACGGTTCCTACCGGGACAGCGCATTGGGAGACCCTTTTACGCGCCAGAGCTATAGAAACACAGTCCTATGTGATTGCCGCAGCTCAGGCTGGGCCTCACAATGAAAAGAGGAGAAGCTACGGACATTCCATGATCATCAACCCATGGGGCGAAGTTGTTGCTAAGCTTGACGATGAATACCAGGAGCCGCAGATCGCGGTTGCGGACATTGATCTAGATCTCCTTGCTAAAGTCAGGAGAGAGATGCCGCTACTCAGAAGGACGGATATATACCCAGAAGTATAGATGATCATGGCATTTGACTCAGTACATACGATATCTGTAACTATTACACCATACATACTATCATTACCGTTTCCTTGTTGTATAACACCAATTGATAGGTTGCTATCCAGTGTGAACGTAGCCGAAAACCGAGATACACATCATACAACCCATGTATAAGGTACAGACATCTATTTCTCCCGTTTTTGAAACATTGCAAGCATGTCAACGAAAAGATTCAGGATATAGAATGACAGATACACGCAGGAAATTGGAGGCGAACAGTGAAATGAAATAGAAAAGCCCTGTCTAGGGTCGGACGTAATGTGCCTATTGACACCACTCGAACGAAGATTGTTTTCCACGCCCGACCGCTCTATGTACAAAGTACAAGATATTTCCGGACCAAAGCACCTTACTTGCGCTGGACCTTGTCAGGGTCCTCCAGAATGCCTTCGGCCTCCAGCCGCCGGCGAGCCTCTTCCAAAGCCCATGTTTGTATCCTGTGGTCATGTCAGCATCTAATCCTCGACTCTGCTGATACAGTGAAAGGCATTGTCGTGACGCGCAGAAAGAGCTTTAGACAATCCACTTCAACTGTCACACGAGGGAGAGGGATTGAACATACGAAGTGTCTGGCTTGAAGACGTATGCGACACCGGCAACGAGAAGACTGCCGATGAATCCATAGTACCACATGTTCTCCCAGCCCTCCTTCACATACTTCTGGCCGGGCTTGAGGCCAAACAGGTAGCCGGTAGGAGGGTCATAGTGGTCACCGCGGAGGTTGCTGCGGGTCGAGAAGCCCTGGATGTTCTGGGCCCGGCGGGGGACACAGCGAGCGCGGAGGCAATGCGACAACGGACGAGCGGACATTGTGAATGTGCGGAGGGTCTGTTGTAAATCAAAAACCCCTAGTTTTCAACGTGGATGATAAGGGACAGGCGGTGGCGGGTGAGGATCCCTGTCGGGTATGGCGAGGCAACGACCGCTGGATTGGTATGCCGAAATTAGGAATCCGTTCGACCAGCGACGACAATAGTCGACCCAATTGAGTGATTTCAAATATCACTGCTTTCGTTGGAGCGGCAGGAGCGGCAGGTGGAGGGGTGATGTGACGGTCAAGCGGTTGATGTTCAGAAGCCGCAAAAGGCCGATGACTGCTGGGATTCTGCCGCTAGGCCCGAACAGGCAAATTTCCCTGCCGCCTTTCGGCCTGATGTCACAGGCATTAATAAGTGTATGCCTGAGGCAGGAGCACTCGACGCGCGACGCGTTCGAGACCAATTAGATTGGCTTATCGCATATCGCGCATCGGCATTGCTACTATTGCGTGCATCGAACCAACTCTGATCTGCATTAGCACTCTGTCTTGAACCTGTCACTTATGACTCGCCTGGCATGGAACTCTGATGTCAGTCGATAAAATAAAGGTAACTACCTATTGTTCGCGGGATCATTCGAATGATTGAGGATCCACTTGATATACTCTTGCTAACCGCCTAGGCCTTTCTTCTCGAGATGCCCCATTGCCCCCCAGCTCCCGAAGAACGCCAACTATAAACACGATGAACACAGGCAACGGCTCGTACAAAGTATCTTCGCAATCACGGTCGAAATTGAATGCTTTTCGGTACAATAAACAAAATGGACCAACTCCTGACAAGCCTCCTCAGAAGACTAGCTTAGCACCTGGCCATGCGAACAAGGAGAACCAGACGTCTTGGTTGAATGGAGTGATGGAACCCGGGAAATCGAATGAGAATAATCAAAATCAAACGGCGGAGGTAGCAGAACCAAAGGCACCGAGAGAATGCCCTCACACTCCAGGAAATAGGATCCCTCTAGCGGACCTTATCAACAATGCAGAGGATGCTTTCATCTATGCTCCTATGCCGGAATTTACCCCAGAAGATTACGTTGTTTGGCAGCATGTGCCCGCAAGCTCAAATCCTGATAGAATGTCCCAGACGCCTGCACATGGTAAAAAGCGCCGCCACAGCTCATCCCCGACTAGCTCTCCCCTGGCAGGGACTTCGAAGAGCAGGCGTAAAGGATCTCTTGACTTGCAGAATTCTCAGACACTCCAGAAGACTCCGCAGCATGACCTCGCCGCCGACCTGTGGAACAGCTATGTGAGCAAGACCCTTGCCAACGGCAATGGTGAGATACTTCGACCGCGCTTCACAAATCTCCTCTCTTCTTCCCCGCAAACGCCAGCGTCAGTGCGCACCAGCCGAGACTCTTCAGGTCTCAGACGATCAAACAGCTGTATGGCAGAATGGCCCAGTTCAAAAGCCAAGCGAAGAAGGATCGACAAGGAAAACTTTGGTACGGGACGAAGCATATTCTCAAGGACAAGGAGCAATGTTGTCAACTCGGGAAACTATCAAGGCCCCAAGATCAGTTCTCTCGTGGAGGAAATCGAGAAGACGTTGAAAAAGGCACCCGTGCCGCTACCGGACACAACTGACTCGTCTCCTATACCAGCACGCAACCAAGGCCGGCGTAGTAGGTCAAAATCCCCGACAGAGGATAGAAAGAGCCAAGCTCAAGCCTCGAAGAAAACCAGCCAAGTGCAAGAGCCCAGAATCATTCATGCTGCCCCTGAAGACAGGAAACCGTTGGAAGAGTCCTCATCGGATTACGGGGACGATGAATTTGACCAGGACTTCTTCGATCTCGCCGAAGCCTCAATGGATCCATTTGTGGATGCCGGTTCCTCTCACCTTAAAGACAAAGCTCTGAGTGATGGACTTGCGAAAAATGAGGCTTCGACAGAGGCCTGCGCCTCAACTAAGGAATGGAGAGAGACTGATGCAGTGACTATGAAAACTAATGTGGATAAACCGACTAATGATGTTGATACCCTTGATGCTGATGAATTTGACGATGATTTTGATGGTCTATCGGACGGTATGGAGGATCTTCTCGCTCAATGCGAGAAGTCGCAGAGCACGGATATGGCAAAGCCTGTTTCTACGGGGTCAGCAGCTTCTAGACAACCAATTCCCGGAGCAAAATCTGGGTATTATCCTAGCGCGATGTCCGAAGCGTCCATTCAGAAGAAAGGAGAACAGGATGCATCTTTTGGTGATGAATTTGACGACGATGGCTTGGATATAGAGGCCATCGAACGATCCATGGTGCATTCAGGAGCAGGTGCATCAAACGATGTTTGTCATTCTTAGTGGGTTCATGTGTTACATACTTACTAAGCCCCATATATAGAACGTTAGAAGCCGACAAGCCATCAAGCGTTACTTGATTGTTGATATTGCCGAGTCTGCGTATAAAACCCTCAAAGGGCGCGTTCAGCCAGAACAGGTCAGACACCATCGAAAATAACAGCTTTGCATTGCCACTGACAGCAAGAAAAAGGTGCTTTCTGTACAAGATGAGAGGACGAAGGAAAAGAAAGTCGTCATCCTTCGAGAGTCCTGGTGCGAGTGCCCATGCGTCAAGGAGTCATACATTCACTTAATCGGAGATTTCGATGCCACAGGACATTGCATCGTGGATGATTCTAGGAACATGGTTATACTCCATCCGGACCACCTGGTCTCTGCAACTGTCGTAGCAGACTCAATTAGTTGCCAGCGCCGCGCCGTCTTGCAGGATCGTATCAAATACACGTCCGATCTAGGAAAAGCGCAAGTCTTTGGGAACATTTTTCATGAGGTGTTTCAAGAAGCAATCAAGCTCAACAAATGGGATACGAACTCGCTAAGGACTCTGATTGAAGGCGTTACTGTCAAGCGCATTGAGGATCTATACTTGATCCGCATGACTATTCCGGAGGCTGTTGAATATATCATGAGTCGAATACCGGGTGTGCAAGCCTGGGCAGAGCGGTTCCTCAGGGTAAAGCCAAGTGTACGTGACCCGGCCTCATTTCGTGGTAGTGGTGCTAACTGAATTAAAGGCAGAATCATTGGTTGAGGATCGTGGCAGCTCCAAGATGAGTTTAAGTATCAATAAGCTTCTTGAAGTCGAGGAGCATATTTGGTCTCCAATGTACGGACTCAAAGGAAACGTTGATGCCACTGTGCAAGTCGCTTGTCATGACGGCGAAAGCGATAAAAACCTGATCATACCACTTGAGCTCAAGACAGGCAATAGGGATACAAATCAGGCCCACAGGGCACAGACAGCCCTGTATACTTTGCTGCTTTCTGATCGCTACGGTAAGAAAACCCCACCGGTGTTCAGTTCCCTTAATGATAGAAACTGATGCGTTCCTGTAGATGTGGAGTGTACGTTTGGATTGTTATATTACCTCGAAACAACGAAAATATTCCGCATTCGTGGTATCCGGCATGAGCTCCTACAGATGATCCAGCAGCGGAATCGCATAGTCGGATATATGCGCCAGAGAACGCACCTGCCACCGATGGCCAAAAGGTCCTCATTTTGCAACAAGTGCTACTCAAAGACACCTTGTTTTATCTACCATAAGCTTGCAGATGATGGTGACGGTGAAACTAGCGGTCTTGGGGATGACTTTGTCAACGCTATGGACCACCTGACTTCTGATGATCGCGACTTCTTTCGTAAATGGGATGATTTGTTGACCAAGGAGGAAAAGAACATGATCCGATTCAAACGCGAGCTTTGGACCATGCTTAGTAGCGAGCGCGAGGCTCTGGGCCGATGCTTTGGCAATGTCGTCATCGACCCTAGTTCCTCCTACGAGGATAAAGATGGGCCCAAGATCAACCGCTATCGCTATACCTTCGTCAAAAAGCAACCACATTCATCATTTTCGTTTACCGAATCCCAACTCACACTTGGAGAACCTATCGTGGTTTCTGATGAGAAGGGCCACTTTGCTCTTGCAAACGGATACGTTGTGCAAGTCAGCCGAAGACACATCACCGTCGCGGTAGACAGGCGGCTACATAACGCCAGAACGAGAGCTAGAGGATTTGATGCGGAGCGTAACCAGTCATTCAGGGGTATAATGGAGATACTCGAGGACGGTGCCTCCCCGTCACCGGCTGAGTCGGACGAAGAGCCGGTCTACCGTTTAGACAAGGACGAATTCAGCAACGGCATGGCAATTGTCCGAACGAACCTGGTTTCCATGATGGAACGGGATCTATTTCAGGCTAGACAACTGAGGCGGCTGATTGTTCAACGGGAGGCACCCGCTTTCAAGACCACGGCATCTGCATATACCTTGTCTGAATTCGACAAGGCAGCCTTGAATGTCGATCAGAGACAAGCCATTGACAAGGTCATGAGGGCTGAAGATTATGCCTTGGTCCTTGGAATGCCTGGTACTGGCAAGACCACCACCATTGCTCATATCATTCGTGCCTTGGTGGCACAGGGAAAGAGCGTCCTGTTGACTTCATACACCCACACAGCGGTTGATAACATCCTACTGAAAATCAAGGATGACAACTTCCGTATCTTGCGAATTGGGGCTCCTGCAAAAGTACATCCTGATGTTCAGCAGTTTGCAGACTTGGCAGCGGTGCCTAAAACCACAATGGAAGAGCTGAAAGCCTCCTATGAAGATTCGCAAGTGGTGGCGACTACCTGCCTCGGGGTCAGCCATGGTATCTTTTCCCAACGCATGTTCGACTATTGTATTGTTGATGAGGCTTCCCAAATCACGCTTCCCGTATGTCTAGGGCCTATTCGAATGGCTAGGACATTTATCCTTGTTGGTGACCACTATCAACTGCCTCCGCTGGTGCAGAACAAGGAGGCCCAAGAAGGTGGCTTGGATGTCAGTCTTTTCAAATTGCTGTCTGACTCACACCCCGAATCTGTTGTCAATCTGGAACACCAGTATCGAATGTGTGAGGACATTATGCTTCTATCTAATACTCTCATCTATTCTGGTCGTCTCAAATGTGGGACTGCAGATGTTGCAGTGCGTTCGCTCAATATCCCCAATATTGGCGGTCTCAAGCAACATCATCCCAGCACCTTCCCCCAACCTCATAGTCAGCGACAGGTTTGCTTGGGTACAAGCCAGGGTCGTTGCTGGCTCAAAGATCTGGTCGAACCGTCTGCCAAAACTCGACTTGTTAACACGGATACGCTTTCCATACCTGCATTGGATGTAGCAAACGGTTCACGGATTGTGAACCCTACTGAAGCAACCATTTGCAGCCGACTCGTTGAAGCATTCATTTCCAGCGGCATTCCGGCACGCAGCATAGGTGTCATAGCGCTCTACCGAAGCCAACTCTCGCTCTTAAAACAGAACCTCAGCCGTTACCTACCGGATCTTGAGATGCACACAGCAGACAAGTTCCAGGGCCGAGACAAAGAGGTTATCATCCTTAGTTGCGTGCGGAGCAACGCTGACAAGAACGTTGGTGACCTTCTCCGTGACTGGAGACGCGTCAATGTCGCATTCACCAGAGCACGGACCAAGCTTCTCGTTGTCGGAAGTAAGAGTACTCTACGCGATGGAAACGAGCTCCTAGGAAAATACGTGAAATTAGTCCAAGAGCGAGGATGGATTTATGACTTGCCTAGAGATGCCATGACGGATCATATTTTCGAATCCGAAATGGTTCTATCGCAATCCTGTCCGGACAAATCTACACCTAGTCCAAAGAAGAGCAAGAGCCCCGTGTCGGCCAGGAAGACGACTCGCAGTCCTTCTGGTCCTGTGCAGTCTCGACTATCGCCGACTGGCTTGAAGAAACCTGCTAAAAGGGGCGCTAAGTTGATGAGCGGTGGTAGAGTACTTGGCAATCGACCTGTTCTGCAGGACATGGTCAATGATCTTATCGGATAACTGTGACCTATGTCATGGTCAATACTTCTTTTCTGTTTGGATAGATGTGTAATATCGTTTGGCGTGTATTGGGTATGGGCTTTGGGATGGATGGTTAAATGGAAGCCCCAAGGGAATATGATATTGGATACCAACGGACATGCAGGACAACTTCAATAGGACAGAAGAATATTATAATTTGGACTATATAAGCCTGAGTACGTGCTTGGTGCCAAGAATGTAGTAAGTGCTTTTTAGATTTGGGGTATAGTATCGAAGAATAGTAACTCCTGAGCCCACTCGACAACGGTATGTATACTAGCATAAGACAGTTCATAGAATCGAAGCACCGACGTACTCCCAACATATAAAGTGCCGACCACCACCCTTAGACGAACCATCTGTCTGCACTCCAAAAACATCTTGCTTTGGCACATGTGTCGGAAGCACCATAACCGTGTACCCATCGCGTGCCTCCACGGCTTCTCTTCCCAGCGCACTCGCAGAAAGCGCGAACCAAGCGTACGGGGCGATAGACTTGGGAGCAGTTTCCTTCCTAAAAACGCACAGAAAAGGCAAGTTAGCAGGTCATCCAATATCAGATAAATTCCATAGCAAGGTATGTGGAACATACAATATCGCGACCAATAGTTCGATGATCCAACGAGACGGGACAAGTCCATGCCACTTCAGGCTGACAAGATTGGTGGACTTTGCATTATCCAAATCGGGTACACTGTAACGACATAGATAGGGATCCACATCGTCATAGACGGATACGCGAGGCGATTCGAGGGATACCATTGCAAGCCACTCGGAGAGCTCGTTGCAGTGGTCTTCTAGTTCTGCTGCTTCGCGGGACTCGTCTGTGATTTCTGGTCCAGGGAGAGGGGGAACAAGGATACTGGAGTGCTCGGTGATAATAGGCTGGCAATTGATGATTTGGGGCTGGTTTCCCTTTAGGGAGGGGTCGTCTGCTTGTGTTTTAGTGTATAGCTCTGAAAGATAATTCGCAGAGGGGTGCTTAATGACGTATAGTACCTTCGGAAACGCCACCCGAGCTAGTTGTGAGATCGAAGAATAGCCAGGCTACTGATTGGTTCAAGACGTTCTTGAAAGCCCATACGATTCTCTCGAAGCCCTTCTTGCCGTGAAGCATGGACGGAAGCCGAAGGTTGATTTCCACGACTGTTTGTCAGGGCTTGTTGTCAGCATGTCTTCTCTGGGGGACATGGTATGGAGAGCACGTACTGAACCTCTCTTTTGCATGCTTTCTTCCTCCGCTGCGAACAGGCTTCCCTGTAAGCCCTGTTCTTTCGAAGATTTCTTTGCTCAACTCCAATTTCAAGATGCCTAGGGGGGCTGTTAGCTGAGTAGGCTAGGAAAACATAGCCGGGGACTATAGACCATCTTTGAGTGTGAAGACACTGTCTGAGCCTGAGCGTCCCTCTGATATCATGAGGATATTCCCTGTACCATGTATGTTAGCTACTAATTCGGTCTTAGTGCACCAGCGAGGCAACGAGAGGCGAAAAAAAAGCAATAATTACCGGTCTTGATATAAGTATTGAAAAAGTCACCCTCTAGCAAAGAAGATAGCGACATGAACACTCTCGCATATCGCAAGTTTTGCAGCTGGGGTTGCACATATGACAAGATGTCCTTGGGCAGAATGACTTCAACCTGCACAGCGACTAGTTAGCATTTCTCTGATATTGTGCCAGCGTGCATATGATGAACTGTCACAGCACAAACAGACAACATAAAAGTCTAGGGATCATATCTAGAACACAGGGTGTCTTACTCTGTGGACATATGGATGGCCAAGGATGGCTGAGAATGGGGACCGTTTCGTGGGTGGCTGCTTAGGATCGATAAAAGCAGGCAGTTGGCCTATGGTGGTGTAGCATTTTTCGCGCTTAGACGCGTCATCCTCAAAGTCGAGCATAGTCCTTAGAAGAATATAACAAAGCCTGACTATTCGTCGATCAGGCCGTCGGCTGTCAAGCTCAAGTCTCAGATACCGGTAGACGAAATCTGTGGTTGAGCCCGGAGAGAATTTTCGGCCCTATACAAGATCTGCTCGATTCGCACTAGAGGGCTAATAGAAGGCGGGATGCATCAACCAGGAATATCTGATGGAGTCAAGCACGCAGATGCAAAAAGTTCCTGTATAGTTCCGTCGTATACTACTGGTTGATATGCAAGATAATTGCTGCTTGGAATGTTCCGCTAGGTCACCTGACCATATACTGATTGCACGTTCGGGGCAATCCTACCAAGAGATTGTGTTATTGCATGAATCGGGCAATTTGCCGAACTATAAATCAAAAACAAGGCTTTTCCTGAACTTCATAAGGACTCATGATTCTCAACGACTAAAACTGTATTCCTGATCAGGAGCCTAGCCAACTGGCGAGTGCCAGCATTATGTCATCTCAATTCTGATCTTCTATCGCCGAGCTCCAGCCAATCAACGAACGCGCCTCCCGGTCTCTGCGGGCATCGATCGAACATCGCGCGCAGGAGCACTTCCAAATCTCCCCGCAATTCGACAGCGTCATTTTCCAATTGCTCTAAGAAAATACTTTCGTTACTGAAGACCAGTTTGCCATTTTATTGGCAAGGAATCTCTCTCCACTCCGCCATTCACAGCCCCGCGGGGCATCAGTCCACGCTGCTGCTGCCGCAATCGCGAACCCGCCAGCAGCAGCAACAATTACACAAGTACTACCTTGACAATGGCGCCTCCTCGACGGAACCTGCTCCCAAAAGACCGATTTGGTCTTGCGTTTGGTGGCCTAAAAACACAAAACTACCATGATCCTGCTGCTCGTGGTCCTGGTTCTCATACGTAAATGCCCATCCGACAAATTACTCTCATGAAAGAGAACGCATACTGATGGAGGGCGCTGAGCAATCTAGAATTCGCACAATAGCATGGAACCCTACCGGTCAGCTTATTGCCACCGGATCCGCAGACCGTACCCTTCGAATCTGGAACCCTGAGCGCTCGCAAGTGAAATACTCCACCGAACTGCGCGGCCATACTGCTGGAATTGAGAAAGTCGTGTTCAACCCTGTTCGAGACTCCGAGCTGGCTAGCTGCTCTACGGATGGAACCGTTCGCGTTTGGGATGTCCGGTCAAAGACCTGCGTCAGTCGTCTAGACGTTGGAGGCGAGGCATTCACCCTGTCCTGGTCTGCTGATGGAAGGGTAATGATTGTTGGTAGGAAGGTGAGCGAACACCCACGAGCACAAAGCAGATGCGCTCAGCACCAGAGACTTAACAACTGACCAAATGCCCACCATCTGTAGGACGACACCCTCATACCCATCTCCGTCGAATCCCCATCCACCCCAACCATCCACCCAGACGGACCACCCAACGCCGCAGCAACCCAACAGCAACAAAAGCCCACCTTCATACCATCAATCTACACAGCCCTAGAACCACATCCCCAACCCATTCAAACAAACGCAACAACCTTCTCACACCACATCTCCACCCCTTCCTCCCCCGACCTCCACCTCTTCGCCACAACCGGCGAAGGCACCGTCAAAATCATCTCTTACCCGTCCTTTGACGTCCTTCACACCCTCCACGCCCATACATCCGCCTGCCTTTCCATCTCCCTAGCACCCACAGGTCGCTACCTCGCCGTCGGGGGCAGCGACGCCCTCATCTCGCTATGGGATACAACAGACTGGATCTGCAAGCGCACTGTTTCGAGCAACAACGGTGGAGCCGTGCGCGGCGTGAGCTGGAGCTTCGACGGTAGATTCATCTGCGGTGCTTGTGACGAAGTAGGCTGTGGCGGTAATGGTTTGGAGATCTTCCATGCGGAAACGGGCGAGAGTGTTCATACCGTTCCTACGGGAGGCAATGCCAATTCGGGGATTCCGGCTGTCGCGTGGCATCCTTCGAGGTATTGGCTTGCGTATTCTACTACTGCGGATGGGTCGGGGCCGGGCGGATTGAGGATTGTAGGGGCTGCGGGTGGGAATTTGTAGAGATGGTTAGTATTTTGATTTGATGAGTTGATATCTATTTTCGCATCTTTGTGTATGTGTGTGTTGTGGCGTTTGGTGCGTCGGATGTTTTATTTGAGTTTATGATGTTTACGGTAGATATTAAGCATGGCATTGCATGTCTTGTATAGAGGTCATTCGTGTGCTTGTTTTGATATATTGGATCGGTTCATTGCGAATCCTGTCCAGGAGATGTAAACGTGCTACACTCGACAAGTTTGTCGAAGAGGTAAACACTCAGAGTATACTCAACACCAATCGTTAGTCGTCTATATATCGTAGATCACATCATCAGACACTCTGCTGTGCTCAAGCTAAAGTTCAAGGCATGAAGTTCAACCCCTGCCACGACTCCCAACCTCCTGAGGCGAATAATGCCCATTGAGCGTCGCTGAGAGCTTCGGGGCCGTTAGGCGGGTTATTGACTAGGCTTCCGTCGCTGAGATCAGGTATAGGATTTTCTGAGGTATTCCATGTAGGGTCGGTAGTGAGGGGGTTTTCGGATCTCGTGGGATCGAGCTGAGTTGACTGGCTAGGAAAGGCAGTGTTGGTTTCGTATTGGAACGGAGCGAAGACACTGGGGGAGAATAGTTCTGGCTGTATAGGGACTTGTGTGGATGAGGGGTATGTCGCTGGTCCCAAGTAGGCGGGGTTGTTCAGAGTGGAAGCTAGCTGTGAGGGTATGGAGTTGGTTGACTGCTGGGTGTTGGTGTTGCCGTTGGATGTAGAAGACATGTTCGTATCCAAGTTTGGAATATTATTGCCATTTCTGGTCGGTGCTGCATGAGTGGATGTTTTGGAGCCGCTGTGAATCGTTGTGCTTGGTCGGCCTGGTGGCGTTTCAGTGGAAGTTTGTTGAATTGCATATTCAGTGGGCGTGGATCCAGAAGTCCTTTGAGGGTGATCTGGGGTTGTATTGTCATCCTGGCCTCTTGATTGGTTTGCAGTTTGTGTATTGTTCGCGCAAGTCTAGGGTGGTCGCTGATCA